AAACCGCTTAGAGAGGGCTGAAAGCCCTATGGAGCGGTATATAAGTCTAACTGCTATTGCTATTGCTATTAAAAGGTGACTTGATTGCCAAAATGGGAGAAGCAGAGAACCTGGAATTCTAGAGAAATGTGTGTTGTTAATTCAGTGAACAGTATCAGAAGCAAGCAGGCTACGTAAATAGAAAAATGAATTTGGAAAAATGGAATCTGTTCTCCTGACATGCTCACATGCAGATCCTTGAATTACCAGCGTCACAAAACTTAGGAAATCAAAGAATTGTGCCAGCAGGATTTGACCTGGGGGACATATAGGCAGAATGCAAGACTGAAGAGATTCAGGCAAATCTAACTTATGAGAGAGGCAGGAAGAGATAAGAGACAGATGACGCAGAAGGGGAAAACGTCAAATTTAAAAGATGAAAAGATCCGAGAAGCTATCACCATAACCAGGGAATGTTATTCCTCCCCATAATAAAGGAAGAAACACATGGAGAACCTGAAGGATATATGTGGGATGATTTGCCTCCCAAATCTGTTGTGAACATCGACTGATTTTGTAAAAGCCCATTTTAAACAGCCTTTAATGAGGAAGCATGAGGACTAGAAGGTTGTTTTACCTTTAGAAGGCAGATGATAATCCACCAGAGAAATAAGTCTTCTGCATAAATTTAATCCTGAGCACTTCTAGGCAGGGATGGAGAAATTGCCTTCCCTTCTGCTCTCAATTCTGGAACATTCTCAATATTTTAGAAACGTCCCAAAATTCTCAGCAAATACTCCCAACACTGCAATCTAACATAGTTAGTCCCTGACTTACAACCATTCCGACCTCCTGTTTGAGGTTACAACAGCACTGGAAAAAGTAACATATGATTGGTCCTTGTAAGCACAACTGTCCCAGCATTAGCCCAGTCACATGATCAAAATTCAGGTGCTTGGCAACTGGCATGTACTTGTGACGGTTGCATTGTCTTGGGGTCACGTGATCCCCATTGTGCCCTGTCCAGCCAGCTTCCAAGTCTAGCAAAGTCAACGGGGGAGGGGGGGCTGGATTCCCTTAAAGATCACCCGATTTGGTTAACAACTGCAGTGACTTATGTCAACTCTGGAGCTGACCTGACCGAAGCCATTTTGACAGCTTCAATGTTGCCACACTGGAGCTGAGGGATAGGGAGGGGGGATTTTAGATAGCTGGGGTTCTGTAACCAAAACAAAATGCTTTCTCTTGGGAACCAAGGACATTCTCACAGCTGGTCAGAGGGAGGAGGAGTAATGCCACCAGGCAACCAGACCATGCTGTGATTGGATCGTGTGACTGATGGTTTTGAGAAAGGGACGAACTTTTACTTTTAATTAGGTGAAAACCACAGGAAAACCTTCAGAGTCGGTTTTTCACCAGATCTGTGCCAATATGATATATCCAATAAGCTATTCTTTGGAGAACCTATCTGACTCGGATTTTGCTTTATGTGAGTCTATTACTCGAAACCCTGTGGCAAAAAAAAAAATTGTGAAATCGGTTGCAACTCGCCTAACCACTGCGTTGCTTAGTTGCTTAGCAACGGAAGTTCTCTTCTCAATTGTGATCGTTAAGTCGAGAACTATCTGTATCTGGAAGATGCTGGTTGGTGAAGATTGCCAGCGTCAATCTATATATATATAAAANGCAGTGTTCATCTCTGTTTCAAAGCCGAAGAGCCAGCGCTGTCTAAAGACATCTCCGTGGTCATGTGGCTGGCATGACTAAATGCCGAAGGAGCACGGAACGCTGTTCCCTTCCCACCAAAGGTGCTTCCTATTTTTCTGCTTGCATTTTTTTACATGCTTTCAAACTGCTAGGATGGCAGAAGCTGGGACAAGTGATGGGAACTCAGTCCGTTACGCGGCATTAGGGATTCGAACTGCCGAAATGCCGACCTTTCTGATTGACAAACTCAAGTGTCTTAGCTATTGAGCCACCGTGTCCTCATTAGCATGAATATATAGGCTTGTCTAAAATTCAAAACAAGTTTGGAAACAACAGGTACCCAAGTGAATATGTAGTGTTGGAGAAGACTTCCAACATTTGGTGTTGGAGAAGACTCCTGACAATACTGCAGATAGCCAAGAAGACAAACCAATGGATCTTCAAACAAATTGACCCACGAGAACAGATAACCAGGCTCAAATGAAGCTACTTTGGACATATTGTGTGAAGATGCAGCTCTCTGGAGAAAACTCTAATGCTTGGTGGAAGGAAAGGAAGAAGAAAAGGACCAGCAGCAAGATGGAGGGACTCAGTTACAGTGGCAATGGATGCACCATTGGAAGCCCTGAAGGATCGGGCTAGAAACTGATCATCATGGAGAAAATCTATCCATGTGGCTAAAAATGACTCATCAGCACCTAATCAACCAATGAACATTAAAGTCTACACCCCTACCAGAAAAGAGTAGAGTAGAGTAGAGTAGAGTAGAGAATAACAGAGTTGGAAAGGAACTTGGAGGTCTTCTAGTCCAACCCCCTACATAGGCAGGAAACCCTATACTACTTTAGACAAATGGTTATCCAATATTTTCTTTAAAACTTCCAGTGTTGGAGCATTCACAACTTCTGGAGGCAACTTCTGTTCCACTGATTAATTGTTCTAATTGTCAGAAAATTTCTCCTTAGTTCTAAGTTGCTTCTCTCCTTGATTAGTTTTCCTCCATTGCTTCTTGTCCTGCCCTCAGGTGCTTTGGAGAATAGCTTGACTCCCTCTTCTTTGTGGCAATCTCTGAGATATCAGAACACTGCTATCATGTTGCCTTGTGCTATTAGAGAGCCGAAGTGGCACAGTGGTTAAATGCAGCACTGTAGGCTACTTCAGCTGACTGCAGTTCTGCAGTTCGGCTGTTCAAATCTCACCGG